TTGAAAACTTAACTTCAAATGTCAACATCAGTGAGCTTAGATGCTTAATGATGTGGCTGCTATTCCTCAACACTACTGCCAAATGTCTATCTTAAGCTTGTAAGCTGCACTGCATGTGTGTTCACGTCGTCTCTCTCAGCTGTCAATCAACATCGTCTCTCTCAGCTGTCAATCAAACAAGGACACAGACACGTCCACTCAGAGGCTTAGAGAGAGTAAAGGAGCATTTCTGATTTATCTCCAAAGACAATCTTTTCATGGTTTTTAACTGAAGAGATGACTAGCTGTGGTTTTATCTGTATTTAAAGCTTGCTGCTGTAACTGAGAATTATAGTTCGTATGTAGCCTAACCCTACAACCGCTACACTGGAAGACATCGCCCCATCTTCTCATCAAGGTTCATTCACTTCTTTGATCTTATTGGAGCTCTTCCTCCACACCAGTTTGGAGAGAGATGAAAACGTCTCGTTATAACACACAAGCACACAGTATAAGTAGAAGTATTATCATCAGTCTATATCTACTCCAAGTCTGTTGGGATTCAGCAGACATATTTAACTGTACAGTGCTGCTAGGAGTCAATAGAAACCACTTCATTAATTCGCTGGCAGGAAACACCGTTGAGAGTCTGGGCCACTGCACTGCTTGACACTGACAGAGTTATCTCACATACGGGGCAGGGAGCAGGTAACATCATATAATGTAGGCCCATTGTTCTGCGGATGCTAAAACTAATGAGATGGAGCCAGAGCCTCTTCACAGAGCAATCAAAAAGTAGTTATACAGCAAGTGGTATAAGTACAGGAGCAAGGAACAAACTCTTAATGTCATCCTAGATGTTTACAGCCATTTTAAAAAGAGCCTGAAGGTGAGAATCTCCAGAGAGCTCCAGTACACTCTGACCACAGAGAGCTAGCTGGTTGTGAAACAAACACTGAAAACCATCTAATATTCAATGGGGCTGTCACGGTTCTGAAACAGTGACTGAAATCGCGACACAAAACTCCATGGTATCGTGTCGCGGATCCAAGAGACAGAACAGCGACACACCTGCTCCCTGAACTGAGGTCTCATTAGACAGTGCAACTGCAGCGGCGGCAGCCGGTGGGGGCAGTAGCGGAGTAGGCCTATATCGTATTTGTATCGACAGTAGATTATTCTAGGTCATTTTCTACCTTAGTTTAGTGTTTATTAGGAATGCAAGGCATTGCGGTTCCTAGGCCCAGCAGGGCTGGGAACCCCATTGGAATCGTAGACGTAGATGTATAAAGAAGATGGTTGAACACCATATTGGAGGACTGAAAGTGAAGATCCTTTTATCTGGATACTCGGCATTGGCCTTAAAACACGCTTTAAAGCGCTTTAAAATATTGAAACAGATGTTTTGAAATTTCTTAAAACACTGATCACTCATCACAAAAAACAGGGACGGATTCATGATATACCAGCAGCACCCACACAAGCCATGCCACACCTAATACTGAACAGTATTACAATAACTTTAGTAAAACTGAACAAGGGGAAGGTGTTGCTCTCAGGAGGAGGCTAGAAGTAGCACATACTGGCACAGCCGGCATCCTGTGCAGTGGAAATCCGCATCTTTCCATTGAACAGGCTCTTTCACACAACTAGGAGAAACTAGTTTAAATGAATGTATTAATATTTATATTATTATGACATTAGATAAAAAGTTAAATTTCACTATATGCATTGTCATTTTATGTAATAGTATACCATATAGTTCACCACTAGTAGGCTATAATATTAATTCCAGCTGGACAAAACAGCAGTTTCATTAATTCGTTCATTAAATCCTTGCGCAAGAACAATTGCTGCTCCAGCTGCTGTATCTCTGTCTTTGTTTTGTAAGGAACTGCTCACAGCGACCCGCCCGCCCGGATTTCTCCCGGTTCTCCGGTAGCTGGCCTTTTTTCTGCCAGAGTTTCGCTTTTCTTCGCATCCTGCCCGCTACTCGGGGCGGGGGTGTTTTCAACGATTAGCGGCGCGGTACACTGCTGCTGGGGGGGGGGGGGGACTATGGTAGGTTGTAAATACTCGCACATTGTGCTGGTAATTCATTTTCCGGTTCGCACGTATCGATTTTTAGGGGCATATGCGAGCAAAATGGTCGCACCGTAGAGCACTGCACTTCACACTAGGTGGCGCTATAAGCAAGGTAAACACGTTTGGGCTCTTACAACTGCTTGCAGTTCGAGTTCACTAAACTGATCCGTGATTCAGTTTTCAAGTGCGCCTCCTGTGGACAGAAACCGAAACTAACGTTACTGATTGACATCTGCAGTGGTGCGTTCACAGTCGCTCCATAATGTAAAATTTCTATCATCTATCATGTCCGCTTAATGTTATATCAAATAACATCTTTCTCTCTCTGCAAAATGCTAAAGTTGGTTGCCAAATATGCTAATACACCTGGCCGGCCTGCCTAAGTATATGTAGAAATCACTGTATTTAAAGGAAGTGCAAGCTATAGGCCTATATTTTGTAAATATTACACCTTAGACCAATTTTTTCGTGTGTCACTTGACTATTTTGGTCCAGTCATGATTGAGTGATCATGCCTGCAACTTCGACTACATTAATTAAGCCAAGATGGAATAAAATAATAATAATAATAATACCCCCCCTTTACGAGCCAAGTGTTAAGTTAAAATGGCATTGCAAGGTAGCATATTATACACATATCAGTAATTATAAATGAGGGTTTTAATTCTGTAATCATTTACAACCATAATTAGTATTCCTTTGGTGGGAGCTGTTGAAGGTTAATAATGAGTTATTTATTCACTTTTCATTGAACAGGGAAAGCTTTCAGTCACAGAGCTAACTACAGCAGCAGCCCTCCCCTTTAACTGACTTCAAATGCCACTAGACGACACAAGCAAATTGATAAATGACATAATGAACAAGGCAGCTGAGATGCTTTCCTGCAAACAGGCAGGCAGGCAGGCAATCTAAATGCAAACACATGCCCGACAACTGTGAGTGGAACAAAAAAGGTATAAAATATTAACTGCTAGAGAAATGTGTGAAGGTTAGAAGCCTACAGTAAGCATGACGTCTGGTGAACAGGGAGGAGAAGGACAAAGAAAAAGCATCCTCAGTAAAATTATTGTGCTGATGCTCATCAAAGAAATTAGCATGGTGTGGATAGTGAAGAGAAGAAGAGTGTAGCAGTTTTATTATGCTAGACAGGCAGAGGAAAACCTTTTCTGAATGTAATGTGTAGTCTAAATAGGAAAAGAAACTGTCAGCATGTCTTGTGATTACATTCTGCCTTCAAATCAGCAGCTCAACAATAGGAGAGAGGAGCCAATGAAAAACTCTACAACAAAGCCAGAACCTGAGGTTATGGCACATTTTTCAATAAATGATTTGCTCCTACTAAACAAGGCGAACCTGATCTCTGTTGTGAATTGATGAAGTATCAGTTCAGAAAAGGTTTAGGATAAAAGAAACACTAGAGAAAAGAAAGAGAAAGTATCCAGGTATCTGTTGAGTATTAATGTTTTAAACACCTGCCTCGTGTGACCCATTTCCCGTCCTGATTAATAGTTTCACACATGAATACTTCAAGCCCTTTTCTATTGCGGGAACCTAACAAAACATAACTCCATCGTCCCGAGTTCTGATTCTGACTGAATCAGAAGCAAGTTCCAGGTACTTTCAGGGGTTGTCGTCAGTTCTGCTGATCGTGATTGGTCAAAAAGATGTGTTGTCACAACAAGAAGCACAACAACAGAACCGCCAATCCTCTACTGTATCTGTATCAACATGGGCAACTAATACATGTCCACTCCTCATTAGCGATTGCTGAGAGGGGCCCATTCAGAAGGAGCAGGAGTCAGTCATTTAGAAAGAAGACTACATCTCAGTGTCTGGCAGAAATGAGCATACAACAGCCAAACGCTGCAGGGAAGGAAAATGTTCAACAGATGAAAAACGATGAAATGGTTCAACATGCTTTTGGGCTTAGGACAACTTGTGTCGAAGTCACCCACTTTAGAGCCGCCTGATACAGACAAGAATTAGTCAAGGTACAGTAGTGTCGATGCGGGGAGTGAATGTGGTCAAACTGCAGCATTTCTGGAGAATTGACACGTTTCAACTCTGACTGGCGTATCTTGAGAGTTGACCTCTGTTTGCCCTTTAGGGTTGAGTTTGGATTCACGTCAAGGTGAGGGGAAACACTTAAAGGGGAAGTAGACTTTGACATAACAGTGGTCCCAGCAGTACCCTGGATTCTCTTTGGTGTCCATCCCTACGTCCTTCAATAATAATTTTCCTTTCAAACAGCATATAAACAACATAGCTGGCACTACTTCTGCCTTTTCGACGGCATACATCCAAAATGTCACAGTCTGCTGACCAAAAACAGCAGAAACTAGTAATTGGAAATAACAGTGTGCAGCTTGTTAGGGTCAGATCCTTAGTTCCTGCAGTGGAAAAGGATGTTTCCACATGTACAAAACAATCAAAACAATGACAACATGGACTGATGCTGCAACTGACATCGTTATAATCAGTATTGACTGTTTCATTTGCTAATAAACTGATCAAACTACAAAAAATTACAAGATCTTGTAAGAAATTACAAGGAGCATTTACATTTAAAACAGAAAAATAAGTAGCCAATACTCATAACCAGTAAGTGTTTGGGCTTCATTATAGAGAAATTAATTGATTATCAAAATAGCTGACTAACTGATTAATCCTTTCAGCACTAACATGGACAAAGAACCTTCGACCAGTGTTTCTTATCTTCAGGAAAAGCAGGTACGGCAAAGGGAGTTGGGGTTGTCACCTAATAATCAGGGTGATCATATTCTCAGGGCACCACAGTAACAGAAGATTGAGTCACTGTGGTGATGTCTGTATTTGTAAAAAAATAAATAAAAATTAAACACACACACACACACACACACACACACACACACACACACACAGAGAGGGCTGGTAGCACTGATGGCACGCTGGGATACCTTTGCCTCCCGTCCCCTGGCCTCCAGGTTTATTGTAGAGGTAGAGATCACCGTCAGCCAAGTCGCTGCTCATATGGAAGTAGTGCTGCAGACAGAACAGGGGAGCAAATCAGCCCCTGGAAGCTCAAAACACTCCAGTCAGCATTTATTTCATACATCATCACAATGAGACTTGTCAAAATGATTTTAGTCTCTGCCACAGTTTTGCAGAGCTGGAAGCCTGTATATCCTGTATTTATTCATTTTGAATCCAGATCACTTTAAACAGAGCTGTTTGTAGTGCACTTGTATGTGTCAAACTGTCATCTTTCAGTGCAGGGAGGCATTTTTGATTTGCAGGCAGCAATGACTTATTTTTTTACAAGTCAACAAATCATTCAAAGTAGTTGGAGGACTTTGAAAAGTCAGATTGACTGTTTATTTTGGTTTTTTATTACCCAGACCTTTACACTTCTGCAAAGACACCGAGCAACAGTCTCTGGGATTATTTGGATTTGAGCTATCACAAATCCTCTTGTGATGAGTGATTAGATAGCTGGAGAACAAATATGCTACAGAATTTGAACGTCTTTCTTTTCCTTCACAAAAATCTTGGAACCCACAAAATAGTGTACAGCAGTGTCTAATGCCGTGGCAGGGCAGGCACACTGGGTAGGTGGGTGGGTTTTTCAGAGACTGTGAGAACTCGAGCTTATGGTTTAACATAGTAGTTCTCTAAGGTCGACCAGCTTCTTCTGGCCTTTGTCTGCACCTCAAAGGAAGTTTGATATCCAGGATTATTTTAAAATTATTTTCTTTTCCAGAAAGGAACATTATCATACCACATCCACATTACACTCAGCACCTTATGTTCCATGTTCTGACCATAGCGGGTCAGAACTGTACCTTGAAGTGGTGTGCTGTGTTGCTGTCGGTGTACTTGGGTATATGCAGGAAGATGAGGAGGTTCTGCCTGAGGTAGTGAGCCACAGCGGGCAGCCAGGGAAGACAGTACTGGGGGAGTCTGAAGTTCATTACCTCGGTGGCTGGAGATCCTGATGGCTGGATGAACTGACAAGACAACATTTGGTGAAAGCTTTTGTGTAAAGCAATTTTCAATGGTGTGAGTGCAGAGTGTTTTCTGTTTGCCCCTGTGGGAATAAAACCCATAATTATGGAAGTGTAAGCAATTTACTCACTGAACTAAACAGGTCCATGTACACAGAACTGCAGACCAGCCACATATACACAGAAACAAACACTGCAAACATTTGGCTTCTATAAAAAAGGAGTCATTTACTTCCACATCAGCTGGGGTCAGCTTGCAGTTCCTGACAAGCATGACAGTGATGATGTCCAAGGTGGTCTCATCCAGGCGCTTGCGCAGCACCTTGACCAGCTCGTCTGTGATCTCTGGGCCTGAACAAAAATTGAAAAGACATTTCTGTATTATCCTCATGTTGGAAATACACAAATGTTCCGGCTATTGCATTTCAAATGTGATTGAAGTCTGGTGATTAAAGGTCTTGGTATGCTTCACAGTGTTTGTTGAATTTTCTAAAAGCATCTGAAACACCTTTGCTCAATGGCAGAATCAGAAACAGACAATCCAACAGTCCACTGCCCACTTCATAAAGCTCCTGGCCAGATGTGCCAAGGAGTGCAATGATGTTTTGTGTGGAATCTGGTCACATTTAACAGCTCTGGAAAAAAGCTAGTAAGTACATCTTGAGTTAAGATTTGTTTATCAAACTCTTGACTTTGAATTCTAAGGTCAAGAATGAACTTTCAAACTAATCTTTGTGAAGCTTTTCATCAGAATGTAGACGTTCCATGCCATTTGCCCATTACCTTCAAATCCATTTTGTAGAACAGATGCAGAAAAAGGAAGCGAGCAGTAAAGATGTTCTCTCTGAAATGTCTTTTCACTTTTTAAAATACTTTTAAAAAGGGTTTCAACACAGCTGTCCAGTGATGCTGCATGTAAAGACAGTGAGTTCAAAGCACAGCAAAGGGAGGGAACACACCATGATATTAATGAGTCGTGCTTCTGAGAAACCACTGATGTAATCCCAGCCTGGCTACAACAGGGACACAGTGCCATCAAGGCGGAACAGGAGGAACAGCAGCCTGCTCCAGTACATCCATACACAGGAGGTACTCAAACTCTTTTTACGATCCCACATTTGATTGTTAAATTGGCTGAGGTCCACATCAATGGCAGCAGAGCACAGCAAGAAAAAACAGGTAATAAATTGTCCTATCTATTTGTAGTCCTAACATGAAACTTTGATCTATTTCACTGCGCCTGTTCTATCTACCACATGAAATCCCCCAAATATTTATGACAGTGTTTTATATTCATCCTAGAGCCAACATGGTAGATGCAACATCCACTATCGTTACATTTGTGCATCGTTTGCAAGCAATAAGGTAGAGGGTGAACTTAAGAATGGTAGGTCTCGCTGTGCCTGGAGAGGAATCAAATCTATGGTCGGGAATATGAAAAAGAACAAGTAAAAAGCAGTGTTTAACACGGATAAGCATAACTCCATTCTGGCAGAGGAGTTAAATCAGTTTTTCACGATATTTGACTCCCACAATTAGTGATGAACTGGCTGAATGAGTGGCTTCAGAAAGCAGTCAGATTCAAATTGATGAAAGGGATGTCTGGAGAACTCTTGAACAGACATATGAGAGGAAAAGTCAGGGTCCTGACTGCATCAGTGGCTTACTACTTAAACACTGTGCTATGTTTTTGAGCAGAATTTTAACTTATTTTCTAGTTCTCCTTATCGCAGAATAAAGTTCCCATGTTATGGAAAGAATCCATGGTAGTCCCAGTAGCCAAGGTTTCATCACTATCACCCCGTGGCGCTCACCTCATCAGTCATGAAAGGTTTTTAACGAATTGTGAAAAGGAATTTACTGGCCATGACACAGAGTGTAACTGACCCACTCCAGGCGGAGGATGCCACAGCAACACTGCTGGATTTTGCGTTTAAGTCCAGGTTCATAATAAAGTTTACAGATGACGCAAACTCAGTGTCTCAAAGACTAAAGAGATGCTGATCGACTTCCGCTGAAACCCTCCCTGTCATGGCACAGATCTTTATAAATGGCCATTATAGGTACTTGGGCACCCTCCTGGAAGATAAATTGACTTTTGATGCAAACACTGAATCCATCTGTAAAAAGGATACTGTAATACATTAGTTATGGATACATAGTGCTCTATATCTCATGGTAGATTTACTGTAAGTTGATAACACCTATTGTATGTTATATGTTCTTATGTCTTCTATTTATTATTTGGTTATGATGTGTACCAACTACTGTTGCAAACCAAACTGCCCGTTGGGGACAATAAAGGCAACCAAACCAAAATAAAAATAGTCAAATCCTTAATATAACAAAACTGAAACATTCAACAGCCCATCGCAAAACTACACACATTCAGTTAGAGTGCACGGTGGCTTCACTTGGTGGGAGACTATTCCTCTGGAATCAGTGCACAAAATGTGTGATTGGCATACAGAGCTGATGTGGTCAGGTCTGGACCAGATCCAAGCATTTGCCCGGACTTTAAGGATCCCAGTTTAATTCCAATCCATAAGCACATTTCAACAGTTTCAGCTCAGTCAGTCAGGAAGCATGAGGCTCCACTAAGCATAATATGCGTGTAACAGAGTTAGAAATAATCTCTTGTGAATTTCTACAAAACTGATATGCTTGTGTTACATTATGTAGTTTTGGAGCCACCTGGTGGGTTAATAGCGCAACTGCATACACGGGGTTCTTTCTCACGTATCTCACGTGCCTCTAGCAAAGGAAACACTTCCAAGCTAGAGGTGGGTGCACGCGAGCAATGTTGTGATCAAGCATGTGATTCAATGTTTAATGTTTTAAAATTGGTTTCATGACTATCAGTAACATGCATTGTTATGCACTGTAAGCTACTAGCATGTAATATAAAAGTAACTGACACGTACATGCAGAAATATTAACTTTATTCATAAGTAGCACTTTCGGTCGTACGTTGAGCTAACGTTAGCTGCTTAGCCATACACCTGCTTGCTAGCTCCCGACTGTGATGTTTTTAGTAGTTATTTTGGATAATAATTGTTCTGTTCCTGTTCATACAGATCTGATGGTTGCAGT